AGTCAGTGGAGGTGAGAGGCCMCAGAGCTGCCTGTGGGGAGGGAGATACAGCCCCACTCCCGGTTCTCCTCCTGTCACCTTCTGTGGCTTGCACTCAGGGAGTTCCTGAAAACCTACTCTGAGTTCCTTCTTCCCKCCTCGGCCACACCCTCAGATGTTTAGGTGGTGAGAGCGGCTCTTGCTGATAAAATAGGTCAAGTACAACGCTGTGGCTGAGATGAGCAGCGTCCGCAGCACGAGGTGGGGTGAAATGAGGCCACAGTCACCTCTGGAACCCCAAAGCCTGCAAGAACCAGGGGATGACCCTCCTTCTCTAGCCCAGGGAGCCCAGGAGCTACTCCAGGCTGCCTAGAGGGGTTACAGGGTGCCACGGGCTGTGTCCTCCGGAGCCAGGCAGRGCTCCTGCCACAGCACTGCCCTCTGCCGCCCCTCTACCCTTCYCTTAAATCCCCGCCAGTTCCCACAGATCCCTCATACCTCACATTCCCACCCCCTGAGGCCCCTTCCCACTCTCAGAGCACCCTTAKGGCCCCCACCCACCCCGAGGCCACTCAGAACTTCCCAGCCCCTCATACCCCACGCTCCCGCCCCCTCAGAGGCCTCTCCTGACCTGCAGCCCTTTCATATCCCACATCCCCCTTCTCCTGACCCGCAGCCTCTCCAGGACCCCTCAGCCCCCTCACACCCCACACTCGCCCTCTGCAAGGCCCTCCCCTGACCCAGAGAGCCTTCAGAGCCCACTCCATCCCTTCGAAGCCCCCTCAGCATTCCCTCAGAGCCCCCTCCCATCCTATACCGTCCACACGGCTCCTTCCCACCCCTCAGAGCCCCCAGGGCCCCTCACAACCATTTCCCGCCTCCACCGAGCCCCCTGCCGCCGCCACCCGGGCCCGGACCCCCCCGTGCGAGGCCTCTGTGCCCGGTGACGTGCCCGGTGCCGTACCCGGTGCCGGTTCGCCCGCCGGTAGCTCGGGCCGAGCAGGCCCCACCGCCGCCGCCACGGAACTGCCGCCAAGCCAAGCCCCCTTCCGCCGCCGGAACCCGCCCTCTGCCACCGGCCGCGCCCCCTGCCGATGGCGGGCCCGGCTCCCTCCGCCACACCGCGCCCCCTCACGGTACCAGCCCCGCCCCTGTCTCCAGACCACGCCCCCTCACGGTACCAGCCCCGCCCCTGTCTCCAGGCCACGCCCCCTCACGGTACCAGCCCCGCCCCTGTCTCCAGACCACGCCCCC